CAGTGCAATCTGCGACAGTATTTGTATCCATGAGGCCACCAACTTGACGCACAGTATTAGAGCCATGCGAACTAGTATTAATATTAATATTAGTAATAGAATTAGACAACAAAACAGCATCAGCGAACGACGAGCAAGACGGACTAGTAGAAGCAGTGCTAAGAGAGACAGCGGGTGCAGATTGAAGAGCAACGGATGACAGTGATGTAGGCGCAGTAACATAGGTGTATGTGCTATCGTTAGTTACAAGTGTATTGACAGCTGTAGCGATTGTCACAGCAGAATCCAAATGAGCGGGAGAGATACCGTTAACGTTACTGAAAAACTACTGTGCCCGTGGCGAATTAAATGCATGAGGGACAGCGGAAAGCTCGAATGCAAGGAGATTATTAGATCTTTTATTGCATCAAATTGTTTCGNTTCAGCATCACGGTCTTTCCCATAAGTTTGGATCAAAGTATTCTTCACTGAAGAAATTACTATTAAGCCAAGTTTCCACAAAGATATATATGTCATAATCCATAAGTGAAGAAGAAAGAAAGACTTCTTTAGCTTTTGTGCGCATTCCACCCATATTCTGGAAGTATGTATTCAGATTTTTGCATGTATATTCGGCATTAGACTGTATAACACTATTTGGAACTTCCTTGGTTAGCTTCTGGTTGAAAAAATCGAAAGGGCCGCACAATGATATCAGACGGCCACACATTTGGATTTAAGATGTTGTTGTAGAGGGAAGATATCACACCAATCTCAAAGTTCACGCTCCGAAGACTCTCAAGTGGAGTTCCTTTCTTTACTAATTTGTAGCACGAAAGGTGTGTACTATCGATCTTTGCATGTTTAGATACATACGCAATAAGGTTATCCTCAGATACAGACGGTTTAAAGGAGGAAATGTGCAACCATTTCTTCTTAAAGACCACCTCGAGATCTGTATTATTATTACGCCCATGAACAATGTTTATGCGTTTGGGCCTATTTAAATTTCGGGCAGCAGCAGAGTCGCCACCATTTTCATTAGCGGCCGCAATAGCATCAACAGATTTATCAGCACTTCGTTCATATATGTTGCCATGTGTAACATTCGTACCACTTGTGGTTGGCATTGTACTAACAGCAGTCGGCCTGACAGATGAAGATTTAACAGCAGCAGAATTATAAGAATCATCAGTGTTGATTTCCGCAACAGCACCGGCAGGAGACCTAACAGGGCGATTTCCATTCGATTGCACGGAATTAGTGCCAGCAGCGGCAGCAGCAGCGTAGCTCATATCGGGTAAAGATGTCTTAGCAGCAAAAACAGCATTAGCAGTGCACGGGGTTGATGGCTTCGTGGTAGTAGTGGTAACAGCAGGTCAATTGGCAGTGCAATCTGCGACAGTATTTGTATCCATGAGGCCACCAACTTGACGCACAGTATTAGAGCCATGCGAACTAGTATTAATATTAATATTAGTAATAGAATTAGACAACAAAACAGCATCAGCGAACGACGAGCAAGACGGACTAGTAGAAGCAGTGCTAAGAGAGACAGCGGGTGCAGATTGAAGAGCAACGGATGACAGTGATGTAGGCGCAGTAACATAGGTGTATGTGCTATCGTTAGTTACAAGTGTATTGACAGCTGTAGCGATTGTCACAGCAGAATCCAAATGAGCGGGAGAGATACCGTTAACGTTACTGAAAAACTACTGTGCCCGTGGCGAATTAAATGCATGAGGGACAGCGGAAAGCTCGAATGCAAGGAGATTATTAGATCTTTTATTGCATCAAATTGTTTCGATAAATCTTTGAATTTAGCATCAAAAGTGTTTGAAATAAGATCAACACTAAGGGCGGTCACTCAATGTCTGGTTAACACTAATCTCCGGTTAAACATAGTTATCGACGTTACTGACTCCCTGTTATATGCATGGAGTCGAAGTTGTCGATAACGATGCTTAACCGCCGATTAGTGTTAACCAGACATTGAGTAACCGGCCCTAAGCTTTTGAGTTACCAGAACTTCATCCAGAGCCTTAACGATTTTCTCTGGCATGACAACACACTCATCACAAAGATATAATAGATTACGTTTAGTTTTGACCAAATTGAAATCATATTCAGAAACGTCTTTGCAGCGAACACGATGAAAAGTTTTTTACCAAACCCATTACACGGCAGCAGATTAGCATCAGATCTTGAAAAGGCTTTAGTACATTTTCCGCAAAAGTTCTCCATTACGAAAGAAAAGATAATAAAATAACAGAGCGAATGAAAAGCATGTCTGCACACACCGAACACTTGTAACTTGCTTGTTGTTGTTGCTTTGCACTTCTTGTTGACATTTCGCTTTGGTAAATATCCAAAAACAGAAAAGCGAATACAAAGAATTTCGTTGTTTTTATTATTTTATTTTGTAGGCAACCAGTAAACTCGTACAATTTAATTTTAGTCACAAAGTACGTAGATTATATTACTGTTTGGTCCGCGCGTACTTTCAGTGGAATTTGTCTCTTTAGGAAGCAAAAGAACTGCTATTTATTGTCAGCAAAACTTTACACGTCTACACTCCGCTCATTCTCTTCACAACTGCAAGTGTTTTCATACGCAAGCGAGTCGGCATATATAGCTGTAGCCTACTGGAGGCTTAAGGATGAATGCAGCAACACTCGAACGTGCTTCATCGCCGAGAAGACCAAATGTGCACTATCAAACTCGTATCCGTTCCTCGCCTTGAGCTGCAGTCGGCAGTGCTCACTGCGCGCCTTAGACAAAATATTGTCAACAGCCATGATAAGGTTCTGGTCAAGGTAGTGATGTGGTCTGACGCGAAAACCGTTCTAGCATGGATAAAATCAGATCACCGACGTTATAAGCCCTATGTAGCGCATCGAGTCAAGGAAATCCTGAAAAATAGCGAGTTGAACGGACTTTAAGACACGCCCTAGAGATCGAAAGTGTGAGTCTTTTTGGTTAGCAGGACCGATCTTCCTGAAAGAAGAAGAGAAAAACTGGCCACCGAAAACAATATGCGACGCTACCAATGTTGAACTTCGAAATAAATTTACGTTTATTTTAATACAAATTGATACCAACTTTTTAAAGAAATTTTCATGTTTTTTTCGACTGAAGAGAGTAGAAGTCAGCTGGATGCTGAGATTTGTGAAAAACTGCCGTGCCACGGAAGGAACGCGAGCTTATGGCAACTTAAAGGTGAGCGAGCTTGAACGAGCTGAAATGTGTATCGTCCGAGAGGTGCAAATGGAAGTCTTCCCGGATGAGTATCAGTCCCTGCGGGCAGGCGATAAGATATAGAAGGGCAGCGCGCTTTGGAACCTCAGTCCCATCATGGACGATGACGGCATAATGAGAATCGGGGGTCGAATAGACGCAGCAACCATGGTTCCGACCTGGACGAGACGCCTCGCGATCTTACAAATGTCATGTAACAGGAATTGTAGTTGACTATTTTCACCGAGTTTGGAGACAACAGAACGAGTCGACGGTAATTGCCGAAATTCGTCGTAAGTATTACTTGCCGCGCACGAGAACGGAAGTACGTCGCGCCGCTACGAGATGTCAAATATGACTCAAGGGGAAAGCCGTTCCTCGACCGCCGCAGATGGAACAACTACCGGCAGTCCGGCTTACACTATTTCTTAGGCCCATTTATGATAACCACCGGTCGGCGAGCGAAAAGCGATAGATCGCTTTATTCACTTGCCTTACTACACAGGCGATACACTTGGAATTGGCGAAGGACTTGACAAGTGATAATTGATGCGTATACGGTCGGATAATGGTACGAACTTTGTCGGCGCTGACAGAGAATTGTAGCGACAATTTAAGGAGTTTTATGACGGTAAAATAGCCAATGCACTTGTGAACAAGAATGTAGAGTGGGTATTCAACTGTCCCTCAAATCTCCGCGCTGGTGGCTGCTGGGAGCGTCTAGTGCGGAGCGTTAAGCGAGCGACATACCTACGGAACCTACGTGGGCACAGCCTTTACCATCTCATGTGCGAGGCGGAAAGCATTGTAAATTCGCGGCCTGTGACTCATCCCTTTGGACACCACCACTGACGAACTTCTAACCAAAAACCATCTTTTTTTAGGTACAACAAACTCCGAGCAAACACCGCACCCGCAGGAAGAGAAGTTCCAGGCCACACGTAAGCAATGGCGAAAGGTTCAACAAATGCAGTATCGATTTTGGAAAAAGTGGGTTAACGAATACCTGCCTGACCTCGTCCGAAGAACCAAATGGTACCAACCGGTACAGCCCCTAGCAGTATGAGACCTCGTACTAGTATGTGACAGTAGTCAACATCGATCCAGAAGGTATTCCCGGGAAAAGATGGTCAAGTGAGATCTGCAGAAGTCCAGACAAAGACGGGCACATTTAAGCGGCCGACCTGCATCTTAGCTAAGATGGAGTTGGGTAAATCTGGTTAGATTTACGGGGGAGGGGCTGTTAGCACAGTTACTCGCTTGTTCATTCAATTGTATTAATCGATTTGTACCTTAATGTTGTTAGCGTAGTTACTTGCTTGTTCAAGCGAACCAATCCTCTATTTTTACCTTAACCCTCTAGTAGGCCAATTTTTTTATGAGTTGAAAAATTCAGGAATGGGTGATTTTAGCACGAGAAATCCAAAAATGATGTCCATTTCGATCTGCGACAGTAACTTTTTCCTACAGGGGAGAAAAACCAAGACCGTCTGGAGACGGGCTCGCCGATATACTTTGACATATTTTCAGCTATCTCTTACACAATGTTCACCTACGAACCGGCAATCCCGTCTTCATACGGTCAAAAATGCAAACTGGGTTTTTATATGTCGGCAAGCCGGTCTGTAGAGGGTCTTTGTTCGAAAGCAAATTTCTCCAAATACGAATGGTGACATAATTATAAAACTTATAGTAAAATACGGTGCTTTTAACAACGAAATCCACCAAATTGTTTTATATCAAAAAATTTTTCAAAAGAAAAAATTTCTTTAATTACGAAATTACTAAATAGGAAGAAATAATTAATTTTAACCGTGTTTTCAAAATCTTTAATTCAACTGCCGATTAAAATAAAACGGATTGACATAACGGATTAAAATGTACACCGCCGTAAAGGTACGATTTTTGTCTAAATATCGTGCCTTACGAATATAGAAAAAAATTATTATAGGTGCACTAAAAAGGTGTTTAGTTAACGACCGTCTGGAGGCGGTTCAGCCTACTAGAGGGTTAATGTAATGTAATAATTGTAATCTCTAATTTTGTAAAGACGACCACATTAATGAAAAACTCATTCGTTTTTAGTGGAGGAAGCACACAAAAGTGTAAGAGTTGTTTTTTTTTTTTGAAAATTATTAATTGTATATGTCTATGTATACTTTTTAGGAAATAAAGCATCACGCTTTGGAAAGCGTGCTTGTCAGCAAAAGGCTAGCTCTTATTTTTTCGTTCCTCTCCAGATCGCGTCTCAACAAGCGTGCAACAACGTATTTTTAGAGGAGATGACTGACCTCTGCCTAAATCAAGTTAATGTACTTTGCAATAAATTTGGTAAAATGTTAGATCTTGTTTATGTTGATAATACATCTAAGTCCGCTGTAAATAAATGTGACCCACTAGTTTTGCCCGAATATGTCTACCACCCTGCTATTGAGATATCTTACAAAATTATAAACGATGGACAAAATTGTGGTATCCAAACATTCGAACCAAATATTCGCTTTGATCTTTCGAAGCCAACTTTAAAAAACTGATTTAAGAATTGCCTAAATTGGCAAAATACAAAAAAAAATTTATTGGTTTCGGTGGTCCCCCTACATTTCTAAATATTCCAAAGCTCGTAAAAAAATTAAATAAGAAAGTTAGATCTAACAATGCAAATTTGCAGCGCGGGTGAATTCAAAAACCAAACTCGGAGTGGCCAAAATAAAAGTAAAATATTTTCTTGTGTTCTGTTTATAAAAACAAGTAATTTTTAGCAAAAAAAAAAACCGACTTCAACTCCCATATAAAAAAAATATATATATATATATATCTCATGATCCACTGATCGGATCTCAACCAGATTAGTATGGGACCACCTCCGATGCAAAAAGAATTATCGAAATCAGTTGACGTGGTCCAAAGTTATGCGGTAACATACATAAAAAAAAAATATAAAAAAAAAAATATTCCGACGAACTGATAACCTCCTCCTTTTTTGGAAGTCGGTTAATAATGTGATTACACACTTGTAGGTTTTAAAAAATAGAGCTCGTAATTGCATCAAAATACTCTCTCGCTCG